GTGTGTGTGTGTGTGTGTATGTGTGTGTGTGTGTGTGTGTGAGAGAGAGAGAGTGTGTGTGTGTGTTACTGGGGATTGAACCCAGGGCCCCAACAGCCCCAACACATGCTGTACGAGCCGCCCTACCATCAAGCTATATCCCCAGCTCACATAGGTCTTGAACTTGCCATATTTCTTCTGCCTTAGCCTCCTGAGTTCCTGACATTACTCAAGCCTGCAACATGAGGTTCAAGCTCCCCTCTTTACTTTACATTTGATTGATTTGATTGATTGATTGATTGATTGATTGATTGATGTGGGTGTACACATGAGTGAGAGTGTCACAGCACACATGAAAGTCAGAAAACAACTTAAGGGAATCAATTCTCCCCTTCTACCATACAGGCTCAACGGATCAAACTCAGGTCGCCAGGCTTGGTGGTTAGGAACGAGCCTTTATCGGCTACAGCATCTCGCCACTGAGGCATCTTGCTGGCCTACTCCCTTCTCTCTTAGTGCAAATTATCCTAAACAATGTGAAGACATGATGTCTATTCAGAACTAATGTTCAGAGCCTCGCGTGATATAATCTACCCCCTCCTCCATGACTTGGCTTAGTATGACGTCATCCCACCTTCCACACCCTGTTTAGCATGACGTGAGCTCCCACCCCTGTACCCTGACTTACGTGCAAGAACCATTTCTGCTTTTAGGGGAGCTGCTGGTGCCTGCTCTCTGCCTGCTATGGCTGGCTGGTTGCAGCTGCAAGAATTTTTTCCCTTAGGAAGTCAAAACTGAAGGATTAGGAGAAGTAATTAGTCTCTTACAACAAGGCTGACTATGGGGGGGGGTTACCAGGTGGGAGGGACAGCACCAAATCCTCATCTCAGTGATAGTGTATCTCCCCAAGAGCCAGAGGAATAAAAAAGAATTGAATTCTGAACCTGGGGGGGGGTGTTAAAGAACCAAGCAGGCTGAACCATTCAAAGTCAATTTAAGGACAAATAGTATTCTAACTTGGACAAAATTCTAGGATTTGTTAATGTATCACTGTCAAGGTCAAATGTGATAAATTTGGAAAAATGGTTTGAAAACCAGATATACAAAGGACACGTCTAGATATTATTCCTGTATTTCATTATAAAGTCAGAAAGAGGCTGAGTATCATGAGTCTCTGATTCCATCAGCCCTTCCCTGGCCACAAGGCTACACCTGCCCAACCATCTGTTACAACTCCCTGGGTAACAATGAGATGTCAAACTCACATTCCCCTTTTGCTTATTACGTGGGGAAATGCACACCCCCTATAAGATTCTCTATTGTGGTTTTTCATTCCCCTGGAAAAAGTGATGCTAATAAGCTGTGCTCCCTTTTCAGTTAGCACTTAACCACAGCATGGGCTTGCTGGGCTGGATACAGGACTAGGTAAATGTAACCACTGAGACATCCCAAAGTCAACTGGGAAGCTGACTTTGTTCTTTTCCATCTAGGGACACTAAACTGGCTTCTGTGGTGTCCCTTGACCTTCCGTGGAAGGAGGATTTAGCACTGGTCTAGAAAGTAAATTATGACAACACTTTTTGGCTAAACAATTGTGTAAGTGGTGTTTCAAGATGTCAATCTTCTCCTTGTCCCCGTTAGCGTCCAATACCATGCAACATACCCCAGTGTCTCCTCCACTTCTTTCTGTTAAACACAACATTGTTTACAACTATGAAAAGGAATGAAAAAAGAGAGACCAATGAAATAACCTCAATATTAAAACATTCTTCTAGACATACTTAGTATATTTATTTGATGTCCATTTCTGTAGTATGGACTTACTGACATTTACTTGGACATAAGCCATCTGGGATAAAGAGTGCATTGTGTGGCTTCCCTTGCAACTAGGTGAGGCTACATGACTAATCTATCAAAAGACACATAGCTCAAGTAAAATTTCTGTGAGGAATTATTTTAGGGAGAAGACACCCTTCTTCCCTACTCCCTATTCCCATCTCCCTTCCTAGTTGCCCCCCCCACACTGAAATAAAACTTGCATTCCAATCCTGAACTGTGAATTTCTATTTATGAGAATAAAACAAATTAGGAATTAGGGATTTTTTTTACATGTACTCATTATTTTGTATGTGGGTGTATCTATGGGGTGCTTTAGCACACTTGTGAAGGTTGGAGGGAGCCTGCTCTCTTCTGCCACCATGTGGGGCCCAGGGACTCAGAGTCTGAAGCAAACCAAACCATCTCCACAACCCCAATTTGGATTTTTAAAATTAGATTGAGTCTTTAAGAAGATAAACTATATCCATTCTTATGGAGTGAAAAAAATTAGATTGAGTCAAACATAAAACTGGCTGATGCTACTAGCATAAAACTCCTATTCATCTTCAGGAACAATGTTACGACAAATGATAGTGCTATTTACCAATAGTTCTAGGTGATAAGGAAAATGAAGTTAATTTGTTGCAGGATATCTGAACCTCAGTGTGACAAACTTGTGGCTTCTGGGGAGTGTTAACTATTTCCTTCAACACTAGAAAATGCTGCTTCTGTGTTCTCATACGTAAGGTAGTGCTAGTGTTACCAGAGACATCATTCTTTGATATTGATGACAGTAACTGTGGTGACTTCTGGAGGGACATGTTCAAAGTAACCAGAATTTCTGGGTCAATCAGTCAGTGCTGGACACAGGCTTCGTGCAGCTTAAGGCATGCTATGCAAATATTTCCTTCCTTCCTTCCTTCCTTCCTTCCTTCCTTCCTTCCTTCCTTCCTGTCTGTCTTCCTTCCTTTTTTCTCTTCCTTCCTTCCTTTCTTTCTTTTCTCTTTTTTGCTTTCTCTTTCTGCCTGTCTGTCTGTCCTATCTGCCTGTCTGCCTTCCTTCCTTCCTTCCTTCTTCCCTTCCTCCCTTCCCCCTTTCCTTCCTTCCTATTTCCTTTCTTTTTCTTTCAAGACAGAGGCTGACTATGTAGCCCAGGCTGTCCTGGAACTTACTTTGTAAACCAGGTTGGCCTCAAATTCACAAAGATCTACCTGCCTCTGCCTTACAAGTGCTGGGATTAAAGGTGTGTATCACCAAGCCCTGAAAGAATGTTTTTAAGGTTAGGTAGAGGAGCATGGAGTTGGTGTTTACTAGGTACAGAATTTCTGTTTAGGGTACATTACAAGCAAGCCACTTTTGGAGAGAGATGGTGGTTGATGACTGCATCACTGTGAATATGAGTAATTTCACTGTGCTATGCCAAAAAGGTTAAAAATGGTATCTATCATTTGTGTTATTATTTTAACTATTAAAAAGATACCTGGACTTTAAAAGATAAAGTAAACCCTACTCAAAAGTATGACACAAAATCACCCCAGGCTGATGGGTATGACTCACAGTGAAGAATTCTCCTAACAAGTGTGATGGTTGGGCTTCATTTTCAGTACACAATAATATTATTTAAAAATGTTTTTTCAGACAAGATTGCACTCTGGCCAGGTTGTTCTGGAACTCTTGCACACTTGGCAGTGTTTCTGCCTCAGTCTCCCAAGTTCTGAGATTACAGGAGTAAGCTACCATGTCTAGCTCTAAAATATATGTATTTCTAAATGTCCAGAGGTCCCATAATGTCCATGTGAATGAGAACTAACCTAAGCTTAAGCATCATTATCTTTGGGATCAGCCTGTTCCCTTTAAATCTGTCACAATTTAAAACAGCCTTTCTTTCACAAGCAGTACATAGACTTTGTAGAATATTAGAAAATACAAAGCTCTTTATGTGTGTGTGTGTGTGTGTGTGTGTGTGTGTGTGTGTGTGTGTAAGAGAGAGAGAGAGAGAGAGAGAGAGAGAGAGAGAGAGAACGTGCGAATATGTGTGCATGCGTGCATATGTGTATATGTATACGTGGGTGCATCCATGTTGTATTGGGGATTGAATTGCAAATACTAGGTAAATGCTCTATCACTAAATAACATCTCTAGTCCTTAGACAATTAAAAAGCCCAGAATACTCCAAATTTTTGGAGAACATTATAATAACTATGTATTGTATGTGTGAGTATAGATATGTGTAAAACCAAAATACTGCATTGAGGCTTTGGTTTTGCTTTTGGTTTGAAATGCAGTCTTAGGTATTCAGGCTGGCTTGAACTCACTATGTTGAGGATGACCTTGAAATTGTGACTCTCTGGGCTCTGGCTCCTGCATATTGAGACTAATAGGCATATCCACCATAACTGATTTCATATTCTATTGTTTCACAACTTTTTTTTAAAGATTTTATTCAATTATTATGTCTTCTGCCTGCGTGCCAACAGAGGCCACCAGATCTCATTCAAGGTGGTTGTGAGCCACCATGTGGTTGCTGGGAATTGAACTCAGGACCTCTGGAAGAACAGTTAGTGCTTAACCACTGAGCCATCTCTACAGCCCCACAACTTTTTTTTTTAATCATTTGTTTCATTTAGTCAACACTATGTTTGTATTCATATATTTTCATCTTATCTCACCTGAGGGTACATTGCAATTTCCCAAAGCAACTAAAATTATTGTTGCACCTGGCTTATCCAACCCAAGAACTCACCTTTCCCCTTCCTTTATTTTTATCTAATAAAGTTTCTTTCTTAGCATACTGAGCTGGGTGGGGGTGCACGCCTTTAATCCCAGCACTCAGGAGGCAGAGGCAGGCGGATCTCTGTGAGTTTGAGGCCAGCCTAGTTTACAGAGTGAGTTCCACGACAACCAGGACTGTTACACAGAGAAACCCTGCCTCGAAAAACCAAAATGATGATGATGATGATGATGATGATGATGATGATGATGATGATGATGATGATGATGGAACCAGAATAAGATGGGAAGAGAGAAGGGAAGAA